GATTATTTTCAGCTGGAGATACAAATGAGAATTAGAAGGATGGAAGATCAAAGGCATCTATTTGCAGCTACAATGAGCCAATTGATTTCTCTAATTTGTGAAGAATTTCCCTCACAGACTATTATCGATCTTGAGAAAGATGAGAGTGCAATTACCTTGACATGTGACGAGAAGCTGCAAGAGTTCCAGGGAGAAGGATCTACAGATGCAGTTTAAAAGGAAGTTGAGAATGAAAAAATAAAAATCCAACCTCTAATCATTGAAGTGAATGAATCCAGTAAGCAATTCTCAAATATAGTGACACCTCCTCCATTCATTAGCCAACATTACCCTGACTCTTATTCTATAATTTCTACTAGTGCAATTGATTTTATTATACCAGAAATTTTTTAGTCTCATGGCAGGAATAAGTTAGGAGTTGTTATGGCCAAATATGTTGAATCAGTAAGTACACGTGATGGAGGAACGAGTGAAGAATTAAGTCACTGTTTAACTATTTGACGTCATCTACTAGTCAATGGAAGAAAGCAACTCGTGTGCATAAGGATCATTCTATTTACGAGAGTTATCAGAATTAAATAAAGAATGAAACACTAAAATGAGTTACACGATTTATCCTCTGTAAATAAATATGGCAATATCTAGCAAAAAAATTAAAGAAAGGCGCTACTTGGAAGGCAACTCAAGAATTTTTAATTTTAGTCATTTCATGTGTCTTGATTAATTCTTAGGTGCAATTTAAGTGATTGTGTTTCTTTGTATCAGGAAGTAGTTTACTGGAAGACGTGCTCAAGTTAGAATTGACTGTTGAATATTCCAATGTCTAACAGATTTTTTCAGGAGACTCTTCATGATTTTGGTGTGCCTCTGCTTTCTAGTCACGTGCTAAGAAAAAAATTTCACTATGCAATGTCCAAAAACTCCGAATCTTTATGACGTGCCCGCATCTTCTGGTAACGTATTAGGAAGAAATTTTCCAAATTCATGATCAGAAGACTCTTCCACTTTTTGATGTGCTTGCATCTTGTTTTAGCGAGAAGGGTAAAAAAAAACAGAGAGAGAGAAGAATTTTCTTTTACCTTTTCCTTTCCTTTTCTTTTTCCATTTTCTTTTTCTCTCTTTTTTTCTCTTTTTCTTTTTCTTTCTTTCTCCCTTCTTTCTTTCCTTTCTTTTTCTTTCTTTCTTTCTTTACTCTTCTCCGTCGCAAAAGCTCTATATTTTCAAGATGATGCAGAATCTAGCAGCATTCTTTCATCACGTAGGATTCAACCCACCTTTTGCTCCTGACTCGTAGCCATTTGTTATCTCCTTCACGTTTAGGGAAGTTTCGTTCGTTGTCCCTTTTACTTCATTTTTGTTCTTTATTTCTTATATTGGAGACAATGTAAGATTTAGGTGTGACGGAATAGTATATTAGAAGAGTACAAATATAGGTATTTTTGTTGAAATTTTTTGTTCGATTTTTTTTCGAATTTTATCCAATTTTTATCTATCTTTGTGCATATTTGTAGTTATCCCTAATAAAAGATGGTTAGATGTATCAAAATTTTCTATTACTAAGATTTTATGCTCTAAGGTGTCAAGTATGACGTGGTAAGGTCTAAGGGTTTCTCTTTGGTGAATAGTTGAGATTTTGTGATTTTTGCAATTTTTGGTTAACTTTTCTAAGCATTGTAAATATTTGTCTGGCATTTTTTTGTGTAAATTGATTTAATTATTAATCTTAGTTCTCTATGTTTAGGAAATGAAGTGGGCTTGTGTGGTCTTTAAATTTAATTTGGTGCTTATTTATGAATAGTATTTGGTTATACTCCACTGGTTATTGTTGCCTAGTAACCGGGAATTTTCATCAAAAGTGTCGACTTTTGCATCAAAAAGTGGCGATAGCTATCAGTATGTGATGTTTAAGTGATGAAAGTTGATTAACTAGACTCCTTTATTTAGTAAATGTTGGAGTGCGCTGCTACAGACTTAAATGGCTAAGAACTAAGCATTTCCCTGGAAAAAAATTAAGAAAAAAAAGGATTTAAGTATGGGGAACATCTTTAAACAAAAAAAAAGAGTGTATATGAATATGAAAGTGTATGAATAATTTGTTGGCCAGCTGATCCATGGATTGTAATGTTGAAATTTTGATTAATAATCAAACCATTTGTTGACGGATGCTAGTTGAATATTTTATATTCTTAAATTAGTTAGTCGGGAATTGGAAGAGTCCATAGTTTTAAAAGCTAACCGGAGAAATATTTCTTAAAAATTAGCCGTAGTGAATCAACTATATTTATAACTAATCCATACCTGTTCTCATGGTTATGAAATTAGCTACAAGTTCATTTTTTCAATGAAATTACATGAAATGAATCACTCAAACACATAGATGCACCTCTACTCTCGTGAGTGTACTCCCTATGTTTAGCACTTCTTAAACCAGTGTTAAATCTCAATTTTCATTGCAGAAATAATACCTTAGATAATCACAATTAATGGTACCAGATTAATCATGATTTAAAGAACTAAAGTGCTAAATAACTTGCTCAAATCATAGCAATCAAATAGCCAAATAATAAATACTAACAATAGTAGAAAGTTCAACCAAACCCAAGGCATAAACTTTAGAAGCACATAAATAACATAAAATCCAAAACTTGCATATTAACCATACTTAAGAATCCAATACAAAAGATAAAGAGTTCGAGAAGAGATAACCTATGTCACTTGAGCTTCAACTCCTCCTTCTTCATCTCCATCTTCATCCTAATCTAGCCAATATACAAAAATGGATGAACTAACTAGCTAAACTATCCTACACTAAGGAAATGAAAGAACTACATTTCTGCACTTCCAAGTTTTCTCCCGTATGTTTCTCCCTTCAATCTTGCAATTGTTTTGGCTATATAAAGATAAATGTGGTCAAGGAATGAGGTTTACACCTCCCTTTTACAGCTGCAAAGTGGTTGTCACATGTCTAGCCTTACATGTGACTTGTTGGAGGTGAAATCAAGTTGTCCGTGTAAAGAGCAGCCTTTTTTGACCACAATCCGGCCAGAAATTAATCCGGCAAGTTCCGGTCGGATTGCTACAGTGACCTTTTTGTGCAATTTCAATTCAATTTTCAACTCTGCTCCGATTTTGCCTCAATTTTAACTGAACTTTTCTTGATGATAGAAGCTGATTTAACTCTTGACCAAAACATAAAACTTCTAGATCTTTGAGTTAACTTTCCAATGCATCAAGAATCACCTTATTTGGATTTGTGTAAGCTGAGAAATGACTAAAATACCCTTAACTGCTCACTGTCTTGTTTCAGCTTCGACCAATAGAAATTGTCTACTGTAATTCGGGCTTTTTGACTTGGAAAACCTTAGAACTGGATTCGATGTCTTCACCAAAGTTGTAGGTCTATCTCTTATCTTCAAATTGGTTCAAGAAATTATCTCAATTCGATCACTATACCTCAAGTTATAGCGAAATACAAAAATATGTCAAAGCTGTCAAAATGCACAAAATACAAGTAAAAAGTGATAAAAACCTCATTCAATCACTTATAGAACATTTTTTACCAATTATAGCTAAAATGATTCATTTTCTTCCAATAATATACACCAAAATGACTAAAAATAACATAAAATGTCATTCAATTATTTATAAATTAGTCACTTATCAGTAGTTTGATAGCTACTAAATCATCAATAAGCTTATGCCCAGTGCTTCTTTCCTGTAAGGCCCATTTTCTTACTGGTAGTTTGGTCTTTGTTGAGACAGTTACACCAATCCCATTTGAGGGTTGTCATTGTGCTTGTCTGTGGCATACCTTAATCTCATTATGCCTTCAGCCTTTTGCTGTTGCTGAGGAGTGTCCATCTGAACTCTTGTTTCTCCTGTGCTCATACTTGAAGCCATTATCGTAGCCTCCTCATATTCCAGCCATTCCTCCTGAGCTTTCTTCATTGTTTTAATGGAGGGTGCTGGTTTCCACTGAATTCCTTCTCGTTTCTACTTTTCCAAATTTGCCACAGAATGTTGGCAGTTAGAGAGATGTGTTTATTGCCCTCGCTTCTGGATTCTTGCCTCCATCACAGTAGTCCACCACCTGCAGAAGCATCCTTGCTGGTCTAGGATTCCTTCCCATTGTATTGGAGCTATCTTCCATACCTGCTTGACATAGCTGCAGTTACATGGCTGCAGTTGAGCAGCCCATGTTCTACTTCGTCTTCTTTCCTCTCCACAAACTCTGCATGTTGGATCACCTTGTTTGGTCCTGTTGTTGATGAGTTGTCTTACTCGTAATGCCTGGTTTAGACATTTCCACAGGAAGATCTTCACCTTGTGCTTGACTTCGAGTTTCCATAAGGTATTATCCAATTCTTTAGAGTTTGTTTGCTCCAGCTTGTAATGGTTTCCCCCTTGATCACTGATCACTCGGTTGTGTTCCATCTTTCCTTCTATTTGTGCCTTATAAGCTGAGCTAACCGAGTAATTACCATCTGTGCTGAAGATCCAAAAGTTGCTATCCTTTCTACCTACTAAGCTTATAGGGATGCTTAGGATTCTTTCTGCCTCCCTTGGTGCTGAAATTTCTGAAGACTAGTTGCCTATTCCATCTCTTCTGGATATCATTTCTTCTACCTTTACCAGATTGCAACCTTGTGGCTTATGTGTGGTTATCTTTCCTTGGTGATTATCTGGGATCCAACTATCCTCCCAGATCTTGTACTCTTTCCATTTCCAATTCTTCTCCTCATTCCTTTCTCTATCAACTGCCTAGCCCCATCATTCCCTTCCAGATCCATGAAGCATTTCCTGGTACTTTGCACTTGAAGAGAGATTCCTTAGGATAATACTCTGTCCTTTACACTTTACTAACTAGCAAGTTTGGTTGTGTGATTAACCTCCAAACTTGCTTTCCAAGCAGAGCTATATTGAACGCCTCCAAATCCTTGAATCCCAGTCCTCCAGCTTTCCTACCCAGAGACATTTTGCTCCATGAACTCGAATGCATTTTATTCTTCCCATTTGCCTCCTCCCACCAGTAGTTTGGCCATTATGGAGTTTATTCCTTTGCATAGTTTTTTGGGTAGCTTGAAGCATGACATTGTGTATGTTGGCATAGCCAATGCTTCAGATTTGAGCATCACCTCCTTTCCTGCAGCACTTAGTAGTTTGTTTATTCCATTTTTTAGTCTCTGATGGATGCTGTATGTAATATACCCAAACAGTTGTTGCTTGGATTTAGTGACCACCATTGGAAGTCCAAAATATTTGCCTTGACTAACTATCTGAATATTTTCCAGTGCTTGATAGACTTCCATCTTTCCTCCTGCTCCATGTTTTCTGAAGATGACTGAAGATTTCTCTAAGTTGATCAACTGGCCAGTTCCTCTTTCATACACATTCAACAGTCTTCTAAGTTATGTTGCATTCTGAGAGTCTGCTTTACAAAAAATCAAGAAATCATCTGCAACAATAGGTGAGTTAGTCTGGGTCCCTGTCTACTGATCTTCATTCCTACGAATTCCTGTCTAGCAGTTGCCTTTTGGAGTAAGTTGGAGAAACCTTCTGAGCATAAGAGGAATAGATAAGGTGATAGTGGATCACCCAGTCTAATTCCACCCTTTGGGGTAACACATATTCTCTGACTTCTCCATTGATAATGAAGGAATAAGAGGTTGTCAAAAGGCATTCCATAATCCAGTTCCTCTATTTGTCATTGAATGCCATTTTCTATATTACAGCTTCCAAGAACCTTCATTCAACCCTGTCATAAGCTTTTGACATGTATAATTTCACAGCCATAAACCCATCTTTCCCTATCCTTTTGTTTTTTAGATAATGCAAGAACTCATGGGAAATCATGATGTTGTCAAGGATTTGTCTCCTAGGGATAAAGGCTGACTGGTTTTTACTTATGCAGCAATGGAGCACCTGTTATAGTCTATTGGCTAGGACCTTAGCTATTATTTTATATACAGTCATGTACAAACTTATGGGCCTAAAATGATTAACAGATGTGGGGTTCAAGACTTTGGGGATGAGAGAGAAGATTGTATGGTTTACTGCTTTGATGAGATGGCCAGTGATGAAGAAGGTTTGGATAGCACTGACCGGTTCCCTTCCTAACTATGTTCCAGAATTTCTGGAAAAAAAAATGGGAGGCATACTATCTATCCCTGGGGCCTTTTCAGGATGCATAGAGAAGAGAGCATACCTGATTTCCTCTTCATTTACAGGTTTTGTTAAGCTAACATTCATACTACCTGAGATTGTGTGTGGTATACCATTCAGAACTTCCTCCATGTCCCTTGCTTCTGAGGTTTTGAATAGCTCCTTATAGTACTTGGCAATCTCAGCTGACGGGGTTGTGCTATACGTACAAGTTAAAATTCGATTTATATCCGTTTGACTGCAAGTATACAGGTCAAATTAGTAGTTTAGGGCATGTATCGGGTCGATCCCACGAGAAAGATTGAACAATTACCGATGTTACTAAATCTTTTCTATTATTTAGACTATCAATGAATATAAGAAATGAAATCTACTGAACTTATACAAAATAACAATTTAAAACTCCTTAGGTTATGGTATCCCTAACTACTCATGCAAGTGTTGTATTTGGATCATTGAATACTACTATCTAGGCTAGTTATGGTGTAATTTCCTTATGCATATGAAACCCACTTTCGCAGTGAATCAACTATACTTATAACTAATCCATACTTATTCTCATGGTTATGAAATTAGCTACAAGTTCATTTCTTCAATGAAATTACATGAAATGAATACTAAAACCACAGAGGTGCACATCTACTCTCGTGAGTGTACCCCTATGTTTAGTACTTCTTAAACCAGTGTTAAATCTCAATTTTCATTGCAGAAACAACACCTTAGATAATCACAATTAATAGTACCAGATTAATCATGATTTAAAAAGCTAAAGTGCTAAATAACTTGCTCAAATCATAGCAATCAAATAGCCAAATAATAAACACTAACCAAGCTTTCTCCCGTATGTCCCTCCCCCAATCTTGCAATGGTTTTGGCTATATAAAGATGAAAGTGGTCAAGGAATGAGGCTTACACCTCCCTTTTACAGCTGCAAAGTGTTTGTCACATGTCTAGCATTACATATGATTTGTTGGAGGTGAAAACAAGCTGTCCGCGTAAAGAGCAGCCTTCTCTGACCACAATCCGGCCGGATTGCTACAGTGACCTTTTGTGCAATTTCTGTTCAATCTTCACTGCTGCTGCCGATTTTCCCTCAATTTCAACTGAACTTTTCTTGATGATAAAAGTTGATTTAACCCTTGATCAAGACATAAAACTTGTAGCTTTTTGAGTCAGATTTCCAATGCATCAAGAATCACCTCATTTGAACTTGTGTAGGCTGAGAAATGACTGAAATACCGTTGACTGCTCAATGCCCTGTTTCAACTTCGACCAATAGAAATTAGCTACTATAATTCGATTTTTTGACCTGGAAAACCTTCAAATTGGATTTCGATGTCTTCACCAAAGTTGTAGGTCTATTTCTTATCTTCAAATTATAGCCAAAATATTAAAATGTGTCAAAACTGTCAAAATGCACAAAATGTAAGTAAAAAGTGATAAAAATCTCTTTTAATCACTTAAGAACATTTTTCCCTAATTATAGCCAAAATGATTCATTTTCTTCCAATAATATAACCAAAGTGACTAAAAATAACAAAAAATATCATTCAAATATAACATAAATTAGTCACTTATCAAATTTTGCCACACTTGAATCATTGCTTGTCCTCAAGCAATCCACACATAATCAACCACAATGGTTCAAGAGGTGAAACAATATATGCACTTTTTCCAACTTAATTCCTCATGACTTGGAAAACAATCATTATACAATTGTTCAATTTACACTAAGTACTCATAATATCAAATAAAGGAAAGATAATTATGCCCTAAATTCAACAAGTTAAACTTAATCTGCCACCCTAACCTAATTTCACAAATAAGCAACTCACATAGTCAATTTATAGCCTTCCTCCTCCTATAATCATCTTTTTCTCAAAATTTTTAACTAAGAGGGGTTTATTTACACTTAATTTTGTTTACTTAAATAGTGAAAATGTCTTTTTACGCGAAAATCGACACTTTTAGGTGAAGATCTCCGGTTACTCAACATTTCACTTATTTAAATTACTATACATACTCTTAATTCAAGTACCTTTTTACGCGAATGTTGACATTTGTAGATGCCAACCCCCGGTTATTTAGTACAAGAATCATTGAAATAGAAGAAAAACTCTTATTCTCTTTTTTTTTCTTTTTCTTTTCATTTTTTTCTTTTTCGAAAATAAAGGACAATAAATAGATATTCCCTCTTAGAAAATATATAAGAATAATCAAAGGAGGAGTATAGCCTTTATTAACTATATCAATCACTTACTTGCAAAATTAAGTACAAAAGAGAAATCTTATTAATCAAGCAAAATTATAGGCATAATTTTCCCTACTTTACCAAAATATACTTTCTAAAATGCAAAAATCCTAATTGCATAATAATCATTTCCAAGTCAAATGAGAAATAAATCTTCCAAAATACATATAACGTTTCAACAAATGGAAAAATTAGACGTTTAAAGTTGGAACAAATTGGCCCTTTTTAAATAAAAGTGCAAAAGTTTGAGAAATATTTGGGTTATAGTGAAATATTGGATAAGATTTTAGAAAAATTTTGACAGAGTTTCCCCTTATAAATGGATGAAATTCCCTGCCAACAAACCCACTTTCAAGCAAATTATCCATATGGCAATATTTCTAAGCACAATTCCAACATTTCTCATGCATTTAAGTCCTCAAAATATCATCACATGACACGTGAATGCAAGTTCAAATATTTCCTCCCCCACACTTAAACTTCACATTGTCCTCAATGTGAGAAAAGAAAATAAATAAAGAGTAAAAGAAAATACTCCTCTTATGACTTGCGCGAGTGGAATCCATGGCAATGTGATGAATTTCCAACCTTAATTGAGAAAGAATGGAGAGTTCAATTATTGCACCCTGAAAAAGACAAAATCAACTTCTTAAAAATAAAAGGTTGCAATCAGCAAGAAGAAAAAATGCAATTCGAGGAAAAAGAAAAAATGATCAAGCATCCATACAATGTTCAAGGAATAAAAACATGAAATAAGCTAATCTTTGCTAATCAAATATATGCATTAGATTCCAAAGCAAAGGGAAGCTAATTTCACAAAATAAGTACACCATCATGAACAAAGTAATTTCCATTTATACATTTTGTTATCAATGATCAAGTTCTCTCAAGTACAAAAGTAATCTCAAAATGGAGGCAAATACACCAAACCAAAATATAAATGACCTTCGTGAGAATTCATGAAATACTAAAAACCATTGAACCACAAAGATTATAAGTGCATTTATGAATTTCACCAATTAAGGCCATCTTCAATTCACCACTTCTTTTAGAATTACCTAAGAATTCAAGAAATCATTCAACCAAGCACATTTTCATTCATTAGGTAATCTAGATTACTCACATGAATATCAAAACTCCCACTAAACTAATTAAAATGCTACATTGGCCACTTAATATGCAACTTTGTCACCAAGCCAAATTAAGCATAAAACTAGCAAGAATTCACCAAATAATACAATAAATACAAATCACAAAATTTATTTATCACTAACAATCACAATAGCATTAATAAGTTCAAATAAATATACCTAACTTCACATGTTAAAAATTGCCTAAAAATAGAAAATATTTAATCATGGCAAAGTTCAAATGACAAGGTTAGGTGAAGATTTGTTATCTCAAAATGGGTTGGTGATGTTTAGTAATGAACATGATGTGAAAACCTCCAAAAAACACACCCCCATTCGGCCTCAATTGAGTGATTCAAGAAGGTACAACCCTAACTAATCGTAAGGTGAAACCACTTTAGAGTTGTTTTTGAAAAAATATGAACTATGAAGTTCACTCTAGAGGATGGGGAAAAATGATTTGGTGAAGGTTATTTGAAAAATAAATGGTGAAAAGTGGTGTTTTAGTGTGTGTTTGAAGTGTTAGTGTGTGAGTGGGTTGAAAAAAAAGCAGGAAAATTGTGAGAAATCCGTTCACGAATTCCTCTTATGCTGGTTACTATCATATCCAGCCGGAAATTGGAGGGATTCGTGGAAGGATTGCTGGACATTCGTGGCAGAAACTTCTTCTTTTTTCTTTAACTATCCGGCCAGTTTTTGGCCGAATTTCCGGCCGAATTTAAGGCCAGATACTGTTCATATGAACAGTTTTTTTTTTGGTATCCGGCCATTTTTGGCCAGATTTCAGGTCGGATTCTGGCCAGAATGTCCGAAAAAATTTTTCTTTCTCCCTGACCATCTGGCCTTCAACCCGGCCAATATTTGGCCAGATTTATGGCCGGATTTGCTGCAAAAAAATCTGGTTTCTGCAGTTTTTCCTCCAAATTTGCTTGGACAACCTTCCACATTCTACCGGTATCCACTTGCTTTCATGTTCTTTGAATGAAATCCAAATTTAACATGATCATGCAGGAATATAACTTTAACATGAAACACTTTAAATGCATGAAATGCAGCAATTGAACATGAAAACTCCCTTTTTGCCTCAATATAGACACTTTTGTAATTGAGATTATTTGCATGAACCCTTACCATTACCACCTACAAAACACACAAAAACGCTAGTTAAACAACTAAAACCTACTTAAAATAAGAAATCGTTGGGTTGTTTTGCAACTAACGCTTCTTTATAGTCATTAGCTTGACTATTTCACCTCATTTTCAAGGATGTTTAGGTAAAGAATAATCCACCATTTTAGGTCGTGGTAGATCATTGTAAGGTGACTTTATAGCAAAATCCATATGATCTAATGATGTAAGAAATGGAAGTGACTTACCTATCCCAAGTTTTCATAGATATTACCTTGAATATGCACCACTTGAGAACTCACCAAAAGAAATGCAATGAGATATCTTGGGCAACAATACCTTTAGAACCTATATTTTCAATACACTCCTGATCAAAGGGGTGAAAAATGAGTCATTAAAACTCACTTCTTGAGGTTCAAGTTAGTTCCAAGGATATTATCATGTGAAATGGCCATTTGCTCATTGAAACACAATTGAGATTCATCATTTTCATCAAAATGCAATCCATTTTTACATACAACATTCCCACCATTCATGCTAGGATCATTTTGCAAATTATTAAAAGAAATAACTTCACACAATGCATTCAATTGCTTATTTATTCTACCAAAGTGAGAAGTTAA